AGATCCAATGATACAATTCGAAAAGAGAAAGGATTTTCTCCTGGTCCCTGGGCCAACAATCCCCCAAATAAAATTCATCCTTCACTTCATGACTGTTTGAAACATTGCTGTGACTACTCACAAGATACGATCACTGTGCTCTACAGTAAATCCTGTGAAAAGCTTGAAGTCTGCTCGATGACATAAGACTGTATATAAAATGTAAAGGTTATTATCAAGAAGTGTTGGAGAGAAGTGTGGGTGACACTAATATTTTTCCTAATAACCCACATCCTGTCCCTGCCTGGACCTGCCTTCCCTTCATTCCAACCCACCAACAATTGCAGCAGGGTGGCATCTGCTTGAAATCAAATAAAAAGATGTCGTCATGAATCAGTTCTGAACATTGTGCTTTAATGGGAATGTTTCTGACTGAACTTAAGCGCAGAAAGGAGTTGCTAGGTGTTATGCGTGTTTGACGGCCGTGTTTGCAAATAAAAAATGACAGGATTAAAACAGCTCACAATAAATGTCTCTGGGTGTTGAAATAATAGTTTGAGGCCCGAATTGATCTGTGTTTAAAATCCCTCAATGTCTGACTATTGTCTCCATAGTTTTCCCCACGTGAGCTGAAGGCTTAAACCCCTACCAGTGCTGCCTTCACAGTTATAAGTAACACTAACTTTTTATCTGTAATGTCGCATTTCCTACCCTGGCTGGTTTAAAGAGGCAGATGTGTCGAAATATGCTTTGTTACCTCATATGCCGGATTCACCAATTCCTGGAGATGTCAATAACCTGCCCAGACAGGGATCATAGTATGGAGTACGTAGTGAGGATTGGTTTCACTTCCCATAGCCAACAAGCCCAGGCAATTTATACTCAATGATTCCATACTGTTCAAGAAGAGGAGCAGCTTATTAATGCCTGTAATGGGGGAAGTAGGATTTTGAACAGAGCCCCTTTTTCAAGCCCACTCGGGATTCCTCTTCGACAGTGGCATCTCGGTTTTCCCATTTGATAGGAAAGTGCTACGTAAACCCATTGTTCAGGGTACCGTTGTCAACCACAGACATCAATGCTGCCAATAGTAAAATCTCAACTGAAATCTAAACTACTCCAACCTGTTTCATGTCATTCCCCCCAGGATGAAGATTATGTTCTGTGCCCTCACAAGAACACACAGTATTGAGCCTGGAACATCACCAAATCCCCACACTAGAAAACGGGTGCGCTTGAGTCTTACTTTCACTGATACGTGTTTGAGAATCTGATTCTTAGACACTGGTGCCTTGCACTCTGCCAAGGAATGTGGCTTCCCCCATCACTGGATAGTTAGAAAATCTGGGCACACGCCTCAGTGAACCACAGGGTGTCTGATCCAGTCACAGTGTTCTCCCTGCAAATTAGACTTGGATCACTACCTCAGCTCAAAGTGAACTGCTGCGAACGGACAGCCATTAAAATCTTGACGACTAGGTGCTTTACAGAAACTGCTCTTTCTGTTCCGTCTCTATCGTTATCACTCACGTGCCAAGCTAACCAATGGGGGGGAAAAAAATGACCAGAGTCCGAGTCCCTAGTTCAGACCCGCTTCCAGCTTTCGATTGACTGAAGCCCCCAATTCACCATCTGCTGCCTCCTCTTGGCTACGACCTTCTGTTTGTCCTGCCACTCCACCATCAGTGGCCGTACCTTCAGTCACTAGTCCCTGAAACTCTGGAGCTCTCTCCACTTTCAAATCCCGCCTAAAGACCTTTTTTGATCGTGCTTATAGTCACCTCCCCCCCTCCCTCTTCCACTGGCTCGGTGTCAGATTCCACCATTGTCAAGTGCTCCGGGACGCATGTCATGTTGGATTTGGATTGATCTCTCAATGACGGTACGAACTAAGGTAGTTTCTATTCTCATGTGAAGTATAATCATTCACCCTCTACTTGCAGAGCAGGCTTGAAGCAGAACACGCAGCCGAACATGACACAATAACAATGTTATGTTGTACTTTAAAAGGAACAAATAAATAAAAAGCTCTCAGTTCTACTTTGACAGAGGTTCACTTGTTCAGTTGCTAACTTATGGATGCAAAAGTCTGCCAGATGCATTCACTCGATGGCTGCTGTGACAGCTGTGTGAATGATAATTTTTTCAATTTACTTGTTGGTGCTTTGGTTTGAAGTACTATATTTGCACTGCTGGACGTCTTGAGAATTTTAGCTGAGCTGAGTAGCAATACAAAGCGGCTTATTTTGCATTAGCCTGAGTTTTGTTCCATTCCCGCTTTCTGTTTTGTACAATCAGTCGGAGTCAGTCCCAGTGGAATGAACGACCACACAAAACAGATGGTGAAAAATTGCAATTTTTCTGCAGGTTCCACTTAAACCTAAACTCATTTCTGTCTTGAGTTAGATTATACTTTTCTGGTGATTTGTTGATTTCAGACTCTGTAGCGCGTCCAGGTGAACTTTTCTTTCTTTACGTCAATTCAAAGAGACCACAAGCTACATTTTTCTTGCTCCGCGTTGTATCTCTTCTGCAATTTTACTTAAAGGGACAGGAGCCTCCAGTTCAGACCTCTCTGTATTTAATGCTTGTTTGCCCACAAATATGCAGTGAATCTGGGGATGGGGAACCTGTGGAGTCGGGCGAGGGTGGAGGTAATGGGGTCACGGAGCCTGGTGCAGGAGAGGACACGAGCTGCAGACTTCTGGGTGATTTGCAGCTTGTGGAGGGAAGAGTTTGGAAGGCTGACAAACAGGAAGTTGGCGTAGTCGAGCCTAGATTAATAATAATAATAATAATCCTTGCATTTGATATAGCGCTTTTCACGTCGGGGGACGTCCCAAAGCGCTTCACAGAACACACTGTAAAGTGAATTGACTGTATATTTGTGGGCGAACGCGGCAGCACAGCAATGTCCCACAAACAGTCGTAGATTGAAAATGACCAATTTATTATTGTTTTTGGTTTTGGAGGGATTATTATTAGGCTCTGTGTGGAGTAAGGTAACTTGCCCAAGGTTTCGCCCTCTGCCTGGAATTGAACTCAGGTCTCTCACTTGCAAAGCGAGTGCTCTAACCACTGAGCTACAGGACTCCACTGTAGCTTGTTAATTGTTAATCTCAGAGGAATGTCTCAAAGTGCTTCACAAGATATACTATGACATCTAGAAACTGTATTTTGTAGGGAAAGCAAGCTGTATGCTTGTAATTCTGCCATAATCAGAAGATATTTCAATGGTTAGAGATTTCAGAAAGTACTGTACTATTTAAAAATGCAGGCATTGATCCGTAAAACTGCAAAGATTTATTTTGTCACTCTGTAAGTTAAGCTCCATTTGACTCATGTGACTGATGATGTTCCCAATTCATAGTTATCATAATTGTCTGGAAAAAATAGTTAACATCTGCTCCCATCTCTCAGCAGAGTACTTTATGAAAAACACTATACAAATGTAATTTTGTCGTTAAGATAGAGATGTTTACTCGAAAGGCAGCACCCCACACTCACTTATTGTGAATGTTCCCCCCTCAACAGATTAGCATGTAAGGATTCCAGGTGGGAGAGGACAAGGGAGAGATGTCAGAAAAATTGTTAAACTCTTAGTTTGGTGAGCACGAGAGGCCTAAGCAACTTAACTCATGCCAAATGTTGTCTGGTTAATTCATACCGAGATCCAAAGAGCTGGTGGGTTTGCTATATTCTCAATTATACCAGGGGCTTGGTTGGTCCTGCAATAGGTTAGAATTGTTTTGAACCTTTGGCAATAAAAATACTAATTTGTGGTGAATGTCTAATTGCAACAACCCTAGAAACATAGATTAACAAGCATGGCCCAATAAGCCTCTCCTGCCACTTGACACCACAGCTGCTGTAGCCTGGCTAGAGCAAGTGTTGGTCACATATTGTGGTTAATATAAAACCACTTAAGAGCCTTGAAATCCATGGCTTCACAGGACAGATGTTATTGCTAATATCGACTTAAACTTGTCAGCCTGACTTGGTCATCAGCACTCTTGGCTCTGCTGAGTCAGAAGGGACATTGAACTCACATAGTCTGGTTAACACTCCAATGCAGTGCTGGAGGTGCAGAGATGCACCCGTCGGAGGAGATGTTAAACCACCCTCTTATCTGCCTGTTAGGGCGGCAGTTAATAATCTCATGGCGCAATTCAAAAAGAGAAAAAAGCTTCTCCCAGTGTCTTGGCCAACAATCCCCAAAATAAAATTGGTCATACGTTTCATGGCTGTTTGTCAGACATTGGCTGCCAATATTGCCTACAAAATGCACAACAACAAAATTAAATTTTTAGAGCACCTTTTACGTCGGGAGGACATCCCAAAGCGCTGAGTCATTACATGTTTTGATTTCCTCCCGATACGATACGCTGCAGCATATCGATTTGCAAATTTGCCTAAAATGTCCAAGGAACAATCCTATTGCAATCGCCTGATCGAATAACGAAGCTAATTGGGACAGCCCCTCTGTTCAATTCAGTCGCTGCTGGGTTTGTCATCCCTGTTGCCAGCTAGTCAGAAGGTGCCTTATGAGCGTTGAGCAAGGCTTCCGCAAAGGGCTTTGGCCTGAGAGCTGCCATTCATTGTTTGGGGAATTCCAGGGGAGGGGTTCTCTTATCCTATCGCTCCATATACCTCCGTGGGGAATTCTGCTGTTTTATGCAAAAAAGTGTAATTGAGAATAAAAGCTTATCTAACAATACCAGCATCAAGGTGCAGCAACATCAGCACACGATTAACCATAACATCTGGCACATTGATACATCATTTATAAAAGATACCCCTGCTATCCTTGGCAATTCCAGCAGGCAAAATTACACCAACGTTCATTATTAAATCACAGGAATGACTTTCATTGTGGAAAATGCAGCGTTTCCCCTGTTCTTTTACGGTTTCGTTTCCATTTTTAATGCCGCTCCCTCCTCGCTCCGTCTTTGTTTCTTTCATTGCAATTGCTCTGAAGTATTTCATGTAATGTGGCCGCTTTCTGTTCCTTTTCATTGCAGTATGAATTCAAGGCCAAGAACATCAAGAAGAAGAAAGTGAATATAATGGTGTCAGTGGATGGGGTCAAAGTCCTCCTCAGGAAGAAGAAAAAGGTGGGTTGACTTTGAATAAGCTTTTGAAGAGGTGATTAATTGTTGAGTCGACATGGTGCCAATGCAGTGCGTTCAATCTTCATTCTACAGCTGTAGCTTCACACTTTGCGATTCTCTTGACTTAGTGTGGGTAGATAAAAGCAATTCACTGTGAAGTCCATTAATTTACGTTGGTTCAACTGTTCGGATGTTTGACCCCCTTGAGTATTTATAGGACTTGGCTTCAGTTTACAGCAGAGATTTGAAAAGCTTCAGCCTTTGACTGTGGCAGTGATTGATTGGGACATCTCTTTATGCCCACTCGTACCTAGCTGCAGATTGTGGGATTCTTGATACAATTACAAGAGGCAATTGTAAAAGGTAAACTTCAGAGCTTGTGATTTTTTGTTTAGAATTTCCACATGAAATCTGTTTTGTGACCAACTGGAAAGGCCTTGCATATTTCAACATGTATTCACCAAAATTAAATAAAGTGCCATTGTAATCTGACCATTTTAAACCTTGACTATGGCAGTGACATTACACAATAGGTTTATCTGTCTGTGGATGACGCAATCAGATTATGCAATGGGTCTACCTGTGTATTGATTAATACAGTGCGATTGGGTTAAATAAAGTTACAGCATATCATAAAAATAATCTTTGCATTTTATATAGCCCTTTATCACATTGTTGAGACATCTTAAAATGCTTCACAGAATATATTGCAAAGGGGATTTGCAAAGGGGACTGTTTATTTTGTGGGTAAAATGCGGCATCCATTCCGCACAGCAGACTCACAAACAGTCATGGATTGAGATCAAATACAAGGAATATTATTACTATTTGGATGGCACTTCAATCAATCTTGCAAAGCCACAATTTATCTGAAGGAATTTTCAATTCGCCAGATGGTCTGGTGCCCAGTCGCTAGACATGATGCCTTTACCATGGTGCATTTCAAGAGACTTTACAGTGACTGAGGGAATGATGCCCCCCTTTAAGTGAACGGTATGGAAGCTATGGAAAAAGGCATTTTCCAAAAAAAAAATCGGTTCTTATTAGCTACGCCGATTAAACAAAATTCTGTTTTAGAATGGGGCCTCTTGATTTATTTCTAACCAACAAACCTCAGAGGCCTGTCAGTTATTGAGTGCTATGCCCTTACAGTGTCCATTGCTTCTGTGCAGTGAATGATGCAGGTCACCTTTGTGAACATTAGTCCACACATCGTAAGAGTTTGTCACCGGATGACTGGCCTGGCTTATTTCGTTTCTGAATTAGTCACCCAGGAGCAACCTTTGGATCCAGTAGAAATGAAACTCCCACTGCGATCTGTCAGGTTCTACAATTCTAGTTCATGGTAATATGTAATGTAATTGGACTCCATGCAATACTGTGTAATTCACATTTAGATGGCGCCTTTCGCCTAGGGAACAAAGGACATCTCAAAGTGCTTCACACAGCTGGCTGGGTATCTAAAATTGGTGGTGGGGGATCTTAAGTGGGGGGCAGTGATAGAAAATGCATCAGAGTGGTAAGTCTTAAGCGGAAGCGAGGGAGTGAAGTAGGAAAATCCTGGATGGAGTGGGGGTAACGGCAGAATGGAGGGGACATGGTGTTTGGGGGCTGAGCCAAGGGAGCAACCGGGTTGGTAGAGTTGCAGGAGGTCTCAGAGATAGGGTAAGAGAAAAAAATAACCTGCTGTATCTACACTGTGAGGAAAATGAGGGAATGTGCACAAGGTTAAGGTTGAACTGTAGAGAGAGCTCATGTGATCTTGCGAGGACCTATGGGATCTGACCTATGCCCCACTGAGTCTCCATACAGTGACCAGCGGGTTGACTGCAGTGGAATGTGATCTTTCAGTCTCGTGTTACTGTACAAATAATTAGCAAGGCACAAGGTCAATGCACTTAAGCTTTCATCTCAGCCTGTCTTATTATATTGACGAATTGCTCCTGTCAACATCGACCCTGCACCCACGTGTGTAAACATGGGCTCATTATCTGGGCCGCCCAGCGTGCATCATTTGGCCACTGCCACTTGTAGGAAAAAGGTTTTCAACAATTCCTTGCGACAGAGCGAGAAGGAAACTCGTGCCTGGTTTAATTCTTCTTGAAATCATTTTCTTCCTGCGAATGACGACACAGTACACAAAATAAGAGATACTGCACTGGAAGGACAATCAACTGTGTTTCAAAGACTCTGGAGAAATAACTATAATCGTATAATAATAATAATAATAATAGAAATAATAACACCATGTTAACCAGAGGGGCTTCTGTGGGAGCATTTGCTCTCAAGTCCGCTGAAATTGCGAGCAAAACATCCCTTCTGTACCACTGTTGCATTGACTCTACGGCAAGCCATTTCAATGCTCCATTAGGAAAGTTTATTGTGTGCAACGCACCAGTATAAAAGGCATTCATTTTTCTTATTTTACAAAAACACACAGTCACTACACTTTACCATGAATCCCGTGAAGTGCTTTGAGACGTGAATGGCGCTATATCAAATGCAAGGATTATTCACGTTGGAAGGATGTTGCAAAGCTTCACGGAATATACTGTATTGTCTAATAATAACAAATAATTTATTGACCTTAATGACTATATTTGGCGGGCATAAGGCATATGTAACAGCTGAATTGTGCTCAGCAATGTCTCCAAAACAGCCATGAAGTGAATCATCAATTTTATTTTATTAATCATCAATTTTACCTTTCTCTTTTCAAACAGTGGCACAGGATTTTTAACAGCTACCTGAATGGGCAAACAGGTCTTCAGTTTAAGTCTGTTATGAATGACATAAATTCCAGAAATCTAGCACCCCCCACACCAGTTCCTAATCATCTTAGATTAGACCATGAGATCAAAGTCAGAAACATTGGGCTTGAACCCATAACCTTCTGACTCAGAGGCAAGAGTGCCACTGACTGAGCTACGCTGACACTGTACATTGTAATTCAGCCCTTGTGTCAGTTCCAGCCATTATACTGGAGCAGGTCGCCGTGAAATCACAAGAATTGGATCAGAGGGCACCTTTGGCTTTTGTGTAATCTAGGTTTTGCTCAGTATTTACAATGTCAAATGGGGAACATCAGCATGAAAATAATGGTGTAACATCTACACCAGATGCATGGCTGACGTGTTAAGCAATTACAGAGCAATTTTATCAAGCAAACGAAGAGGCAAAGAGTTGAAATGCTTTGAGATTTATTCCACCATAAAGAATACCAGCATTTTCTTGGCCTATCAATTGTTTGACATAATGTTGTACTTTATTCCTAAATCACAAATTACATACAAATTACCTGCACAATTTCTAATGATTTTTACTATGATTTACTATGGGGGGATGTGGGTGGTTAATGGAGAAACACACTTCAGCAAAAACCGTTGCTGTCCTGTTTCTGTTTTCCAACTATGTGACAAGTTAACGTGATTTGTGGTCAAGTCAGAAATGTGATTATGTCACTTGATGCGATGGAAAATCACAAAGGAAATGCTTGACAGAATCATTTATTTTTCTCTCCCTCCTCTCTCTCCCTCCCCATTTTTTCACTTGCTCTCACTTTCTCTCTTTCACTTTTTCTCCTGTTCCTTGCCCCCTCCCTTTATAATGTTAAAGAACTGTACCATGTGCTAATGTACAGATGCTGTAAACCTTGTGCAGGTTGAGGGAGGAACGGGAATCCATATTAAATGAAATCCAGCAATTTGTGTCACTGACACATCAGAGTCCTGGTTTCACCTAATCTTGTGGGTGCAGTGACCAGTCCTTCGATTATAATATAATAATAAAAAAATCGTTACTTCGATCTTGCGCCTTTCATGTCGGGAAGACGTCTCAAAGCGTATTTGTTGTAAAGTGGAGTGACTGTATCTTTTGTGGGGAAACACTGCATATTACATAATAATAATCCTTGCTTTTGATATAGCGCTTTTCAGGTCTTCTAGCTGTCTCAAAGCGCTTCACAGAATAGACTGTAAAACGAATTGACTGTATCTTTGTAGGCGAAACGCGGCAGCCAATTGTATAGAATTCAGTCACCAAACCACAAACACTTGTGACATGATCACTGTCTATTTACTGACTTACAGAGCTGATACTTTTACACCCAGGAATTGTTTGTGCTCCTTGATCCATTAGGTGATATAAGTCGTCTACAACAATATCTTAAGCTGTGTATTTGGATGCATTTGTAATAGAAATATCTTCTGGCGGGGGATACACTTAGAAAGATTATGATAGGGCTGGGATATTATATTCTTTATTCCTTTGATCACTGATATGTTTAATGAAACAAACATTGTGAGTGATTTTTTTAAAAAAATGGGATATTTTTATATAAAATAGGATTCTTCTGTTGAACGTTCTTGTTGTTTCAGGTCATTTCTCAACTCAGATTGTTCGTTTACTCTTGGTGTTGTAGAGGCATTCCACTTTGCTGCTTTTATTCTATGTAGGTCTGTCAGTAGAGCAGCCAGTGTAAAGTAAATGTGCAGGTTATAGTAAGTACTCTTTTAACTGGTGTGGTTTATTGCGCTGCTAGTCTTTCACATTGGAGTGCAGTTCTTATGGTTAATATCGGAGCTTTGGTATTTCAAATCACAAACTGTATTATTGATAATTGATTATTGATTGCTCTAGATAACCAAGAGTCTAGAATCAAAGGACGAGGACAGGAGAGTGACCCCGACTTCATTCTGGATGACTCTCCTTGTAAGTCGTTTTGTAATATTTACCTCCATAAATATTATTTTCCGCGTTTGCTTTTTTTTGCTATTTTTCAATGTGTAATGTTGTTCTCTGACAAACATTCAAAAAAATTATACTTTTTTCATAAAACTGCTTTAAAACAGTGTCCACATACGTAGTGAAAGCATGCTCTTTTGTACCCTTGTATATTGTTTGGTTGTTTGTTCCCCTGCATTTTAGGGAGAAATGTTTTTTTCCCTCCGTCTCTCTCGGATAATTTGCAAGGATCAAATGCAAGGATTATTATTATTATAATTGACGAGTTGTACATTCTCTGCTGTACGAGATGATGAGTTGAAGAGCAGCGGCTGAGGGCAGATGAGCTGATGGCCTGCGTTGATAGCTGGGACTCAGGCAGTTAAAGCTGAAAAGCAATGGATGGACTGAAGGGGACAGAGGGCGTGTGAAATGCTATGTGCCTTTTGCTGGAGCCCCAGATTTTCAACTGGGTGCTGGGATCCACTCCAGCCTTTACCGTCAGGGAGGTGATATAAAGCTGTCCATGGATACAATCGAGCAAAATCCAAATCAGTTGATTATGGTGTGTCCTTAAGACCATTATATATTGTCCCTAATTGCTAAATCAGCTTTAAATACATGGCCTGAAATTGACATGATGTGACGGTGATTTTTAAAAAAAAGTAATGAAATCTAGTATTCGGATCACGGCTCCGTATTGCTCTGCCTCCTGATGCTTTTCAGACCCTCACCTCTCATAAGTCTGCCTTTCCCCCTTGCTGATCATTGGAGTTTGTTCCTCCCAGGTCCGCTTCACCACCTCAAGTGAAAGCCACTCCCTGACTTTCACTTAAGTTATTACCAGCCTGGTCTCTTGCAGGTCCCCAGCACTTCATTGCTTCTAGCTGGACCGCTTCCCCCTCCCTCCCCACCTCCTCTTTTTAATAAGAACATTGTGTAATAATTTGTTGGATACATTGGAGGCGGTGGATGGGCGATGACATCTTGATATCTCTCCCCAGACTAAAGTAAATAAAGAAAAAATGGATTTGTAGTTGCAATTTCATTTTAGTTGCTCTTTGATCAGGGTGAAAGGGTTACTTAAATTCATATTTTCATATTTCAAGGCCACTCATACTGTCAGTCTGCTGACCTTGGGTTTTGAAATCACTGGCTACAGCAGCTGGGAAGGAGGGAGTAAGTCAGGAAACACTGAAATCATTTTTTTTTAATGGCTGCTCTCTTGCCAGTTTTTAAAAAAATATGTTCGCTTGATCCGTGACTGTTTGTGGGACACTGCTGTGCATAACTACACAGTCCACAAATGCGCAGTCAATCCACTTTACAATATGTTCTGTGAAGTGCTTTGAGACGTCTCAACGACATGGTAAGGCGTAATATCAAATGCAAGGATTATTATAATTAGTTTGACCTCCCAGTTAGCGACTTGTTATCTTAAGAAAGTGACAGCTGTGCTGGTGAAAGATAAGCTGCGCGGCAACACAAATTGGTAACCCATGTGGGAGTATGTGTGGCAGAGAGCTGCGTGCCACATGTTTTTATAACAACAACAACAAGATTCCATTTATAGAGCGCCTTTCACGTCGGGAGGACGTCCCAAGGCGCTGGACAGTTGGGTCAGTACCCGAGCAGGGGGGAAATGGTCAGGGTGAGGGGAGGGAAGGGAGGGAGCGAGGAGGGGGTAGAGAGTCGAGAGGGGAGCTGAAGGCACGGTCAAAGAGAAAGGTGTCATCCGCATACATGTGGAAGTTAACCCCGTGTCTGCGGATGATGTCACCAAGGGGGAGCGTACAGTTAACTTTGCTAACTGTACATAGCTTGTGGTTTCTGGTATTGTCAGAGTTCGGCTGTTTGGATGATTGGTTCTCAGTATGATAGGAGCTGCTTCCTGTAAGATTGATGGTGATGTGACTGACAAATGTAGGTCAATGTGGGATAGAACATTTTTTCGCTTTGCTTCCATGCTCTCCTCATGTCTTCCATAGTTTTCTTCCTCCTGCAGGTTGCTTTCCCTGTAATGTGTTGCTATCTCAACTATTCCCCACTGCCCTCCTGAAAGCAGTCAGTCACTCACACTAGGTTCAGTTCCTTGGGCGATCATTGACCTCCAATAACATGGAGGATATTGGTCAAATGCCCATTCTTAATGTGTGAGCCGAGGCAGTTGGTGCGTGTGGGGGGGGGAAGGGGGAGGAGGGGGGTGCAAATATGTGACATTAAAAACAGATGTGAATCGTCAGTTCAGGTTTGCAGAATGGGAGATATGTGGGAGATTCGTAAAAACAAATTGTGATTTGCAAAGTCCCCAAAACACAGCCTGCCATCAAAACTCTCCTGACAAGATCTAGTGTTGACTTAAGAACCCCCAATACTGGAAGTAATGCCAAGTCACTGTAGATCACTATAATACACTATGGTAAACTATAATTCACTGTTAGTAAATTGCAGGACTCCACTTCTGGAGTTATCCTCCTCAGACTGTAAAATCATAACTTGTATGAATGAGACAAACATTTGTAACTGGCCTGCAATAAATGTGCTGTTCAACTTAATATTATAGGTCGATTGATTGTCCTGAAGTAAAAAAAAACTGCAGAGAAAAGACCATATTATACTGAACAACACTCAGACAAATATACACAATTGCTAACGGATTGTTTCCAACTGGGAACACGATTTGCATCATTTTAACAATCACACCAGATCTGTAATTTATGAAACATAATCCATTCTGATATGTGATTACAGTTGCTTCCGTAGCAAGCGTGGTAATTGCATTTACAACCTCAGCCCTGGGAAAGAATATGAACACCCAGAGCTCTGGTCAGTCTTCCACCATCATTTATGTTGCACAAAATGTAACTATTAGTATTTAAGCTGGAGAATATCATTTTGTTTTGACTTTGTCGAGGTCAGCCCTCTAGGATAGGCAGGAAAATGCTTTTATTTTAGCCCAAATGCACAAACCTGTCACAGAAGTAGATGTTTCTTTTGTTACTGTTCATGTCCCAAACGCCATTTGAAACTCGCATGAATATTGCAAGTTGTGAAGTTCTCAGGATTTGTGCTGAACAACAAGAACTTGCTTTTACATACACAATTGGCTGCCGCGCTTCACCCACAAATTAGTCACTCCATTTTACAATATATTCTGTGAAGAACTTTGTGATGCCTCAACGACATGCAAGAATTGTTATTATTATTTATGTACTGCCTTTTAGGTAGAGAAATGTCTCAAAGCATTTAAACTAGCAGGCATTAGGACCGCTATAATTGTCCTCAGTGTTCCTGGGCTAGAGTCTCCTGCAAAATGGTGAACATATTGGGAGGGAGTAGGGATTGACCGTAATCGAGACTGGGCGTAATATTCCCCACAGGAGTGGGGAGTGTCCACTGTCTAAAATCAGGTGTGAAGCATTGATGCTTAGGGAAAAGTAACTGGGGGATGTCAAATGCTTCTGGATCTATAGTGTAACAATAGACTTTCAGGAAAGGGTAGGCATGAAGTGCAATATTGTTCATGCAGTACAGTGGGGTCTATTATACTCTTAAGTGTACACACTGTGTGAAGAAGGAATTACAGCTACCATCTTAACCAACAGGGGGATGTCAAATGTAATAATTATCCAGTTGACAACCAATTCTTCATCATTCATTAAAAGTATGTGTAATTCTCTATGTGTATGTGCTTGCACATTGCGCATAACACAAGTGTGCATTTGAACTCGGTTTGACATCCCACCCTTGCATTGCACTTTCAGATTGTTTAACCACCTGTCATTGAGGTTTGCTGAATATTCCCATCTTCTTTCTGACAGAAAAAGGAATGGACCTGGGATGAGAGCCAGATGTTGGTGATGCAGGATCCTATCTACAGGTGAGTCAGTGCTCCCAGTGGACAGCTGCAAGTGTGAGTGATCCTGGAGAAGCAATTTATCATGTTTCCAGTGAGAGGAGATCAAAGCTCACAGAAAGCCAATAAACAACTGTTATTTACAAAGCACTCTGGTATACGACAGGTGGCAAGACGACAACATCTAGCTTATTGCCTCACTTGGGAATTCTTCTGCCATTCATTAATGCACCAGAAACAATTAAAAGCTTTCCCCGGTGGTTTAATCCATTGAGTTGCTTTGCAGCCCAGTAAATTTGGTTTCAGGGAGCTACTGCTAATTCCCATCAGTGTGTTTTATTTCTTGCATCAGCCATGGTGACAGACTAAAGCATATATTTCTAGGATTTGTTTGTGGAATCCCTTTAGATCCAATTTATTTCATAACAGACGAACGACCTGGAACGAAAATACTTAACGGTAAAGGATTTGCTATTCATAATAATAATAATCCTTACATTTGATATAGATAATAATTATTGTATTTGATATAGAGCATTTACATGGCAGGATGATGTCCCAAAGCCCTTCATAGGATTTACTGTAGTGACTGTATTTGTAGGCAAATGTGGCAGCCCATTTGTGCACAGCAATATCCCACAAAAGGCAAAGAAGTGAATGACCAATTTTGTTTGAAGGATTGTTGGCCAGCCCACTGGGAGAAACTCCCCTCTCTTTAAATAATAATGAATCCATTGAATCAGAGACTGAAATAAGCGCGCAGGTGTGACGTGATACTATATTAACATTCACTGATCAGAATGTGAGGGACTGGGAAGAAGATATTTATGTTGAAGTCTGAGAGCATACCAGCAATACTGTTCCCATTTACTCATTCGCCACTGGAGAATTGTTGTGTGACCACAAGCAAGATACAGGGTGGCACATTTTATGCTTGATTTTCTTCTATTTTTCTTCAGAGAAATAACCAGCTTTTTGGTTGCCACTATTTGTTTAACGTGCTTCAAAGTAACTCGTTTTGACCTGATAAAATGTGAAATAACATCCAGGGTTAGTGTGTGCAAAAATATAAGAGTTGTAATGACTCATTAAAAGATTAGCATGTTGTTCAAGAAAGGGATACATGAGTATTGTGCTTGTCAGAGTTGAATGAGTTGTACAACACAGCTTCTGGGTTTTCAGTGACACGCGGAATAGTGCCTCCAGTAGTATTCTCACCACTCGTCTCCCCTCCTCATCTTAAGGGCATTTCTCTCCTTTCTCCTGTTGGGTTACAGTCCCGGCGGTGTACTTGCTGCCCAATCTCTCGCCCAAGGAGTGATTATTCATGCATCAGTGGCAGCAAGTGCTGACAGACTGTCTGACACAAGGGAACCTCACTCTGATCTGTTCTCGCCCCTCAAGCACTTTCCAGCAAAGAGCGCTGAATAATATCTGCCTTCAGTTCTGATCTGTAGGCTGGTCAGTAACCTTAACGGCACGAATGAATAATTTATTCAAATGTGTTGGTGAAAATCCACCTCGGTTCCAATTGGCCTCATTAGAAATTCGGGTTCAAAGTATGATCGGTCAGTTTACCTGCCAGCCTGATCTGATCAATCTGTGATTTACTGGTGCAAATAAAAACAGTAAATGACTTGAGAATGTGACCTTGAGCTTCACTTACAGCTAACAGCACCACAGTAAATGATTTCTTTCTTCTCTGTGGGTTCTTCTCTGGTCCGCAGTCTCTGCGGAGTCTCATTCCCCAGAAGAGATAAAGGAGGTCCAATTGATTTATCAGACAGTTGCACAAAGCCGTGAAATGAACATGATGTTATCTTGCTCAGCCTCCCGTTGAGGTAGCAGTAGCTTCAGAAATTGCCACTTGAGCCCTCCAAAAGAACCTTTAAATAACTGAAAGCTATCTGCTGTTTGATACTTAACACGATTTTGGTAAACCAAACTGTGTGCTGCGTAACTAATAATTCAAGGAAAACGCTTAGAAGTTAAATGAAAAGTGTGTGATGTTCATCCCCTTAATTGTTACTGGTGATATTCTGCCCAAATCAAATCACGCTGCACCTTTAGATTACCATTTACCTGATATTTGTCAACACTGGTCTAGATCCACAAGAGTGAGGCTAAAGGGCCTGGCTCAGTTGATTGCATGCTTACCTTTGGGTCAGAAGGTTGTGGGTTCAAATCCCACTTGAGCTCGTAAGCTAGGCTGACACTTCAATTCAGTAACTGGGGTTAGCTGCATTGTCAGAAATGCCATCCTTTGGATGACACATTAAGCTGAGATCACAAATACCTGTTCAGCTGGGCATTAAAGATCCCTTGGCATTATTCAAGAAGAGAAGGAAGTTTATGCTGGTGTCCTGGCCAACAATTTTCCAGATAAAATTGGTCATTTGCTTCATGGCTGTTTGTGGGACATCATTGTGCACGCATTGTCTGCCATGTTACCCACAAAACACACACAGTATTTGAGACTCGATGACATAATAAGGCACTATATAAAAGGGAAAGCATTATTATATTATATAAAAAATCTGATCGTAAATTAGGTGGAGGAACTGAAGGGTTAAAGTGGGTCATACGAAACAATGTAAATTATATTCATACATATACAATATTTTTATAATAATCAGCAAATACGTGGCATTCTCTTGTAGATTCCTGACTCTGAAATTGCTTAATTTGCACTCACGCAAGTAGGTCAGATCTCATTCCATGCAGCGTTGGCTGGGACTGTCTAGTTTAATTGCATTTTGGTTCTTTAGTTAACTATCCAATGCTTCAAATATCAAAGGCGGCTGACTCCAGTCGGTGGATTTGACAACCTTATATTGAGAAATTGGGCGACTAAATGATAGGAAAATGTTCTTTCTGAATGTTTTTGGATAATTCATGTCAGCTGCTATTATTTTTCTCTGCCGGCATTAATTTCACAAATGTCTTTTACCCACTGAGTACCAGAAGTTTCTTAGTGGGCTCTGTACCTTCTAATATGTAAGATTTATTACAATATTAAGTGCTGATGTTTCACCATGTTCTTCGGCAACACGTTATATACACTGTGCCTTCTTGTGTAGCTTGCACCCTGGTTGTTAATTTAGAGCCGCCTCCAGTAATCAAAGAAAAAAAACATTCCAACGCTCTTATTAAAATGAGTTACATTCAGTTGATACAGTTTGGAATGAGCTGGCTGGAAAATTAAATCACAAATTTCCCTCCGAACTGCGCTACTGACAAGTTAAAATTGAGTTTTAAATAAGTGTCGTGGGATGATCTCTAGTGTCTAACCTCTGCAGGTGGTGACACTGCTGCTGATTTCTATGGTCTGGGTTAGTATCCTGACTGAGTAACAGCACCACGAGCAAGCTGTGGATTTACAATCTTCTCGTTGTTGTAATAATGCTAATTCTTGCACATTTGATACAGCACCTGATCACGCTGTTGAAACATCGCAAAGCACTTTACAGACTATATGCTAAAGTGGATTGACTGTATATTTTGTGGGCCAAACCCAGCAGCAAATTGCACTGCAGTGTCCCACAAACAGTGTTGGGTTGATGAACAATGATTTCCCTCTGTCCCCCCCCCCACCGCTCCTCTCCCCCGGCCCATTCTCTTTAATGAAATACTGAACCAGTCTGCCAAGTGGAAAATTAATATCTGAAGATCGTTTGACAAAGCGTTTGTTTTCTTTTACTTTCAAATTGAAAATGTCCAATATAAATGTGTGTCAGGTGGACAGCAATTCCCCGGAAACTTGTATCACTTCTTTCTTCTCTCGGACTGACCTTTGCCTCCATCCTCTTGCAGCTCGAAACAAAAGCGTTTTATCTTCTGCAGCTCGGTGCTGTGGAACAGGCACAGCTGAGTGAAGCACTGCTTTGAGTCCAGAAGGCTAGAAGTTTGCAGGGTCACCTCCAGGTCTGTGCTGAACCAGTTAGAAGTCCAGTGAGGATCAGAAGATTGTGATAGTCTGTCCATAGTCACTGCCTCGCTTCATGTAGGAACAATAGCTTCTTGCATGAAGAACCAGAAAGCTGCCAGGGACACAGGGAACCAAACTCCCAACAGTGGGGAAGGAGGGGGAAACGAAGGAGAAGGGAATTTTCCCTGGTAATCTAGCCAATGTTCCTGCTGCAAAAAAAAACATTCACCTCCTGGCTGTTTGTGGGACTTTGCTGTGCTCACATTAGCTGCTACAAATACACGGTCACTACACTTGACGGAGTGTTTTACTACGGAGCACGTTGAGACGTTTTTGACGCCGCTGATGCTAGACCAGACGCTAAGAAATTGTGAACGCAGATGCAAGCTTTAAATCAAGTGAGCGTCTCAATATTTTTGTTGACCAACATGCGGCTTGACTCTGAGAATTGGCCGGGTTTGCAGGAGTGGTTATGAAATATTCAAAGCTTTTTGGATTAATTTTTCTTTTTTTTTGATCTTCTTTCCTCAGTCACTGAAGGAAGCTGTAGGCAGCACATGTGGCCCCTGTAGATTCCTAGAAATTTTAAAATGTATGAAAGAGACCGCTTCTCCCATCGTGCCGGTGCTCCCACAGGAGACCACGTACTCATATTGATCCAATTCCCCTTTTACGTTGCTGTTACGGACTTGATTTCAGCAGTTATTTGTGCTGCGGCATTTCATGTTCTAAAATCTCTCTGTGCCCCCGCAAAAACACAAGTCTTCTAACCTCTCCACTTTTTTTCCAGCTGATGATTGCCTTAAATTAGAGTGTGAATTGTAGGTTTCGGTATAGTTCAGAGTCAATGGATACGTAATAATATGCTACATTGTTAACCACCACTTAAAGCAGTCTGATACACAGTAAAAACCACTTTACAGTATATCTTGTGAAGCGGTTTGAGCCGTCTCTACGATGTGATGAGGTGCTACATCAAATGCAAGGATGATGCTTAGAAAAATCTATACTGTTTTGGGAGAGAAGGCTGGTGCTTTATTGGTGCAAAATTTATAAATTTAACCTTTTTTTAAAAGGTGAGCAGCAATGCAGACACTCTCTCAGAACAGGGAATAAATAACCCACAGCCCACGCACCCGCTTTGCCTTTGTTCAAAGGATGTGCTACTGAAAGCATGTTATCACCAGAAAGACAGAGCGGATAATTAGAGTCTATTATTTGCCTCTTATTATTGCAGCACTGCAGGCATCGAGCACTCAAACTGCCTGTCTATTTGAGTTCGGTTCAGAGACGCAATATTCTGCTGCGATTAGTTTGTACCTCTTTGCTTTTCAATTTATTTCAACTCATTGCAGTGCTGGGGTGTGCTGCATTGTCGGAGGTGCCATCCTTTGGATTAGACGTTAAACCAAAGTCCCTTCTCTGCTTGTTCAGGCAGATGTTAAAGAGCTCATGGCACTATTCAAAAAGATAATGGAGATTTGGTTGGGTATGATCCAGGTTAAGAAAGAACTCTCTTGTTATTCAGCTTTATTGCAGTGATTTTCTCAAGTAAATTCACAAACAAAATTTAGTGATAATTTTGTGGGATAGAAAAAGCACTCGATTAACCCCCAAAGAGTCATGAGGTGAAAGATCAATTAATTTGGCAAATTGTTGGCAATAGAAAGCAAGGGAGACGATCTCATTTTGAATAACGTTGTGAGCTTTTCAACATCCACCTGAAAAGACGGCCGGGAATCTTGGTTTAAAGGACGGCACATCCGACAAAGTCATCATGATTCTTGGCCTCTGTGATAACTCCCGACAACCTCTCTCATTAGGCTCTCACAAACTCACTGTCATGGTCGTCGACATATGGGACTATGAAAGAAGAGAACTGCTGTTCATAATCCAGTTTGGAATAGGAATAGATGTTGGGTTATATTCCAGTTGACTCTGTATCAAATGCAAGGGTTATTATTATTTATTATTACTGTATAAGTGTCAGTTGTTGTTTACTCTGGTACTTCCAGATACCCAATAAACTGCTGCAGGTTGGAGTCCTGCAGCTCAGTGGTTAGAGCACTCGCCTTGCAAGCGAGACACCTGGGTTCAATTCCAAGCAGGGCAAAACCTTGGGCAAGTTTCCTTACTCCACACGCCTAATAATAATCTCTCCAAAACAAAACAATAATAACTTGGTCATTTTCAATCCACGACTGTTTGTGCAACACTGCTGTACGCAATTGGCTGCCGCGTTTCGCCCACAAATATACAGTCAATTCACTTTACAGCATATTCTGTGAAATGCTGTGAGATGTCTAGAAGACATGAAAAGCGCTATATCGAATGCAAGGATTATTATATTAGAATTGGGATTCTAGTCATGATGAACAGATTAATAAAAGTGATTGTCATCCACTCAAGTCCAACAATGCGATTTCGAACACATTTTTCAAATGTCAGCATCCCATCTGGATAATCTACAGGTTATTAAAACTGCAAGGGACTCAGCCTTTATGTCTTTCCTTAATTTAATATTAATCCTTGCATTTGACATAGCACCCTATCATGTCATCGAGACATCTCAAAGCACTCCACAAAATCTACTGTAAAGTGAATTAACTGTATATTTTGTGGGTGAAATACAGCAGCCAATTACGTACAGCAGTGTCCCACGAAGTCATGAACTGAGAGACCAAATTGTTATTTTTTTTTGAAGGGATTATTACCCTGGAAAAGCGATCCGACAATCGTCTGATTCCCATCTACTGCTCAGTAAGCAGGCGTGAGGAGGAAGGAAACTTGCCCAACGTTTCGTCCTGCCCGGGAATCAAAACCAGGTCCTCTCGCTTGCGAGGCGAGTGCTCTTACCACTAAACTACAGGACTTTAATCCATTTTAATGTTCTCACATCAGAAATGCAATAGAATGAACATTCTTATTTTAAGAATCGGAAAAGTAATGCATTTCAAGGAAAAAAAACTAGGATCTTCTGAAGAGTTGCTTTAAAAGAAATGTGAATATTTTATAATCATGTAATGGGCTGAATTAAAGGCTGATATGATTGGAGGGGTGAGATTGGAAAAATATGATTAATTGTGTTATGTGGGTTGATGCATATCCTCTTTTTTTCTCAGCATCCAATCCTGCCACTCTGCAGCGCTCCAAGAATGAAGGGTGCTATATAAATCCAAGTTATCGTTGTTGATGCAGTGGTCCAGGCAGGATGAATATTAGCTTTCAAGAGTGAACAGATGTCTAAAAGGGTGCAATTTGCACGGATTTGGTTGGGGGGGAGGCAGCTAAATGGAACTGAATGGATTACTCTTTAAAGAGCCAGCACTGACATATTGGACCGACTAACCTTCCACGTTCGAAATATTCACGGTTTTTCCACTCTGTGCTAGCTGTGGGCTCGATTAGACATTTCATTGGAAAAACATTACCTTAAAAAAAAATATTATTCATTTCATCCCTGAGGATTGAGCGTTTCTTTTTTGTCAGCTGACTTACAAGTGAAAGCGGACACAATTCCAATATCTCAGCGTTGGGGAGAAAGGCTCCTTCTGAGACTGATTCCAAGGTCCATCACCAAGCAGGCTTTGCCTTCTGACACCTGGAGAACAGTTTGTCAATAGCACATGGCAGTCGAGCTGTCTACATGGTATTTGACAAGTGGCAGTTTGTTCCTTTGTTCGTGTCATCGTGCTCTGTATTTCGAGCTCCAGTTTCTGAGGATCTGCCAATCTCTGCCATTACTCTGTGTGACGTGACGTTTGATGTGATGTGATGACCAATCCTCCTGAGCCGCTTTCTTTGTGTCCATTTCTCCTAGGATTTTCTACGTGTCCCACGATTCGCAAGACCTGAAAATCTTCAGCTACATCGCCAGGGACGGAGCCAGCAACGTTTTCAGATGCAACGTCTTCAAATCTAAGAAGAAGGTAAATGTTTATAAACAGTAATCATACAATTCTTGCGTTTGGTATCGCGCCTTATCACGTCTTCGAGACGTCTCAAAGCGCTTCATAGGATAAACTGCAAAGCGCATTGAATGTGTGTTTTGTAGGCGAACACAGCAGTCAATTTTGCCCACAGCATTGGCCCCCAAACAGCTATGAAGTGAGTGACCAATTTTATTTCGGGGATTATTGGCCAGGACTTCACTTTATGAATCGTGCCATAGGATCTTTAGAATTCACCTGAGCGGGCCTTAGTTTAACATCTCATCCGAATTACAGCCTCTAACAATGAAGTATATGAGTTCCAAGTCCTGTTATATCAAATATGTGGGTTATTTAAGGTTTTTGTTTAATGCAAGGCATTGGTTTCCGAACAAACTTGACCCACCACCTTATCCATTTTACTGGAAAGGAATTATCAAAAAGCATTTGATAAGATTTGTTTAATAGACAACTAAAAATAATTAGCCCACCTCTCCATGACAAAGCAATTTCAGTTAAGTTGATTAACCTGTCAAACCACAGGAAGAATTATCTTTAGCAAACTGGCATCTGAATCATACCCATTAAACTCCAGGTTCTCTTTTAACAGTGGCACATTTCACCAGAGATCCTTAGACTATCCCGCACTTGAACTGCTGGCAGATAGGAGGGGCAGGGAGGGAGAAAGAAAGAGAAAGAATATTTCTCATCGGTCAATAAGTATTGACATGTAACACAACACAGCTGAGATTGGAAATCTAATTTCCACATTATTTGGACGCCTCGGGAAATATAATTCCATGGCTGCAGGAAGATTAGTTCTGGTGTTGGAATAAATAAGGTAGCTTCTCCTTTGAGAATTATTCTTGCCAAAACACTAACGACACAAAGGAGAACCAAATGCGTTCAAACTGTAACTAAAATCCAGTGCTGGTTTAAACAATGCAGTGTTATGTGCGTATGCGTTAGCTGTGACAATTAACCTTTTGTTCTCAGTACATGTGTCCACTGAGGAACTGTTTAAGTTTCTTTCAACTGTAATCAAATAGTTTGAGTTTTGATACGAGTGTGGTGGTTTTAGCTGGACAAGCGGTGGGAAAGCTTGCCAGACAGTGCTCTCAATGGCAAGTTATATCATTTTAGCTGGTTAAACTCTAGCAGGACCCCGACGCACAATCTGTGTTCCCCAAATCTTTGTTCTTGCAACCTGTAACTAGTATGCTCTGGAATTTAGTAAGCAGGATGTGTCCCCCCGGTGGAAGTGTGCACATTCTATTATTCCATTCCACTAATGGGAATTTCGATTTGTACGTGGGATGCATGGAACTGTCAGTCTGTCTGGTTTGAATACTTGGTGATGGGTTTCCGCATGTGTCAGACACCCAGCTGACCAAATAAATCCTCCTAGAATAAAATGAGTATCCAAAGTAACGACTATGCTGGTGGCTGAAGTTGTGAGTGGGTTCTGGATTGTGTGTGAAATGGACTGAAACGCCATCCATTTGATGGCCTGCAAGCCACCGTCGGTTTCACTGATGCGCAGTATCTACAAGATTATGTTTGGCTACCTGTTGTAGTCAAATGTGACCATGTTCAAACATGTATACAGCATGACTAGTATCACTATTAAAAATGAATGAATAAGCTATAAAAAAAATCCATTCAGATTGCCAGGAGTTGCATTGTGTCTGAATGCCGTGACCCATAATGAAATAGCCTTTAGCTATGTATTGATGTAAATCCCCTCCCAACCCCATTGGAAGCCTTTAGCGGTCTGATCTAATGTGTGCTGATTACTAAAATAACCATTTATTCTGTTCAATCTTTAGAATGGAAATCCCTTTGTAAAGACTTAGTGTAAAGTTCACTCTTTTCAGTGATCAGAGTATGTTGTCTCCAAAGGTCCCAACGCTATTGTGGTACACAACCTAATGGGTACAACACAGCTTTGTTGTCCTCAGTAAGTTAGAGTGCGGTTGTGTGAGACAAAAGTAAAACCAGCAAATTTATACCATTTATACCAACGGTAATATGATTTAATCCAGTGGTGATATGATTTAATCCAGCAGTGATATGATTTAATCCAGCAGTGATATGATTTCATTTCATTCAGCGGTGATATTTGATTTCATTCAGCAGTGATTTCATTCAGCAGTGATCAATATGATTTGATTCAGCATTTATATGACTTGATTCAGGAGCACTATGCTTTGATTCGATGGCTGCCATTACATTTTCACTTAATTCATATCCTCTGCAAAATAAATTGGCTTAGCAGCTGGTTTGATTGAACATGAAAAAAATATAGTTTTGGGATGGGAGAATTAATAGCAATCCTAGGATGCATGGAATATAAGTTGACGATCATTTCCTGGTTTATGGGATAACCTCACTAACGTGAGTGAGGCAGCATTATTTAATTACGGGCACTCATTGGTGACTGATAGCTCCATTACTCACTATGACAGCTAAGGTTGTCAACTCTTGAAAAGTCTGGGCTTGCGATGGGCATTGGAAGCACGCCGTGTTGGATGGTTACTCCCAAACCGCAAATCATCTTCGTAAACTGCTAGGTTAGTCAGCACTCTGTTTTGGATATGTGTGGAAAGTTCATTCTCCCGTGAAATTATGTGGATCATTTGTAAAACAGCCAATGCAAATTGTGTATACGTAGAGCATGCTGATTTTCCGCCCCTTCATGTTATTGCGACTGATCAGCAGTGCCTCACTGGCAAATACTGGGCCTTGTGTAAATCAGCAAAAATGGAGCACCAGAGAAAACACAAAAAGGTTTTGACTGGTTAACGCAGAATGCGAGATTGAAGCTTTAATTCATATTGGAACTAAACTGACTAATTCTAATAGAATTTGTCAGTTGAGATTGATGGCATAAGACAATGTAATCTGCATATAAATTGTCTATCTCATGTACAAATCTGGCCCAAGGAAATTGCTGCTGGGGATTTTCTAGCATTTCATGACCTATAATGAATGGCGTATTTCATTGAAATAATTCCCTTGCTCCTTCCTCCTCCCTCCAAAAGCATTAATGGATTGCTGAATAAACCAAAGATCCTGATGATCCGACCAGTCGAGAACCAAACCCCAAATCCTTAGACAAATATAAAGATAATTCCCCTGGAACTAACCACTTGTAGTTACAGTAAATGGGGCTCACCCTGCAGTATGGAGTATGCAGTCTTTGAGCAGACACAAATATTCTGCAACCACCTCAAATCTTATTGAACTCTGCCTATATTCCAAGTCAGAGTCTATTCAACTACATCCTATGATCCTCTTTGGAAGGTATCGTAGTGGCAGATTTTGGACAAATCCCTGGGGTTGTTCACTTTAATAAATTATTAAATCTTAATAATAATCCTTGCATTTGATTTAATGCCGCTCATATTGAGAGGGCAATTCTAAGCACTTCACTTCATAAATTGTCTATCTCATGTACAAATCTGGCCCAAGGAAATTGCTGCTGGGGATTTTCTAGTGTTTCAGGACCTATAATGAATGACATATTTATTGAAATAATTCCCTCCCTCCTTCTTCCTCCCTCCAAAAGCATTAATGGAATGCTGAATAACCCAAAAGATCTTGATGGTCCAACCAGTGGCTCTGAAGTCAAGCTGACAGAGACAGACTGAGCTTGTTTTTTTTTACTGGAAAGTGTACTGGAAAGTGTATATTTTGTTGATGAATGCAGCAGAACATGTACACATGACAGTGACCCACCAACAATTGTGAAACAAATTACTAATTTTATCTGGGAGATTGTTGGGCAAGACACCTGGAGAAACTCCTTTTTTTAATAGTTCCACCTGAACAGGCAAATGTATCATCAAAGAAAGGCACATCCGACAATAGAGGACATCCCCAGCACAATCCGAGTGTTGCACCCTTTGGAACTGAAATGTTTCTCATCCATCTCCTCCTCGTCCTCCACTGATTTTGTATTTTATTTCCCTGTAGCCTTTCCTTTCTTTAGTGACCTACTTTGCACATCCTGTTTCAGTTAAAAAAATTCACTGAAACAAAGGTGAAGAAGAATACAGATGTTTTCCATTATCGACCTACCTCTTCTATTTTCTTTCAAATGTTTCCTTTTCTATTTCCTTGGAGGGTCTAGGCTGCAATCAGTGTGGATTTGCTTGGGTGCATATCAGCATTTTATAAAGTACAACTTTGAATCTAACACTTTGAAAGTCTTTCTAACATTGCATGTGAATGTAGGCACTAGTTCACCACCTGAGATACAAAACTCTCTTTAGATGTCTATTCTGCCTTCTGAATAACTAACCCTCTACCAAATGCTGATTGCTAATTGTCAAGCCACCTATAGGAAGAACTTGCGTTTTTATAATAATAATCCTTACATTTGAGATAATGCCTTTGATAACAGGATGACACCTCAAAGCGCTTCACAGGATATGCCATAACACTGTGTTTTTTGTGGGGGAAACACGGCAGCTAATTTGTGCACAGCAATGCCTCACAAACGACCATGAAGTGACCAATTTTATCTGGGAGGTTGTTGGCCAGGACACCAGGAGAAACTCCCTTTTCTTTTCAATTTGTGCCATAGCATCGTTAACACCCATTTAAAAAGGTAGATGGGACCTCATCTTAACGTCACATCAGAAGGATGGCATCTCCAACAATGCACGGCCCTAGCATTGCACTGGAGTGTCAGTCTGGACAATGTAAGTTTCTAACACCTTATACTGAAACATCTCAAAATGCTTCACGGGTAATTCCTGTCAAGTAAATGACTTGTGCAGCTAATTAGATCTGTGCAGAGCAAGATCCTGCAAACAACACTGAGGGGAATGACCAATTAATTGGTTCAACATCTCATCCAAAAAACACCTTTGATAATTCCAATTCCATCTTAATTCAGCCAAACACTTACGTTATCAATTGTGAAGCCTATTTTTTTNATAATTTATGCCAAGCTGGTTGTACTTATCTTAAACCTCAACCGATTTTACACG